TCCGAACACTCCCGGGATTTACTGGAGGTGTCCTGGAGTCCACGAGAGAAAGCTACGAGATGTCTACGTAGGCCCTAAATTGGAGAAAGAGTCAGAGATAGAAGAAGAGGTCTCGATGAAGTCGTCCAGTGAGTAGTAGAAGGCAACGATTCCAGGAGGTAACAAAACAAAATATCTAAGTATACTCGTGCAAGCGGTACAGTTTCATACAGACAGGAACGCAGCTGAGGAGAGGAGACGGCCACGAAAACGAAGAAAAACAGAAAAAGGAAGAAACAGGAACAATTCGTTAGGCAAAAGAAAAAGTGAAACGCACAGCAACAGGCTCCGTTGCCCTCAATATAATCAGAAACTCATAGAAAAGTTTTGTCGTCATTGAAGTTATGCCTCGTTTGTTGTCGCTTCATAAAGGGTCATTAGGTTCATTCTGGGCTCATCATCGAGTCAACACAGCATACATAGCAAAAAATCAAATTTTTGAGACGACTTTGATAATTTTTGACTCGAAAGATAAAGAAAGCAATAAAAGAAATATTTTAAATCCACAGTTTCACCTATCTGATAGGCTGCGACTCAGCCGACTGCGACTTGACCATTTAACCTGAAGGTTGAAAGGTCAAGGGAAAGAAGTGGTTACTGCCGAAAGAGGAATATTCACAAGTCATTACCTATTCATTTATTTAGTTAATTATTTATTTATTTGTTTATTTATTATTTATTCCATGAGAGTGCGGAAGGTAAGCGAAAAGTTTCGAGTAAAATCCAAGTTTAGGTGATCTCAAAATTGAGGGATAAAAATGACCCCAAAAAAGAAAAAGAAAAGTGAACTTCTTAGACAATGACCACCGCTTTCAGAATAGGCCCCGCACAAGTTCAGAAATATTTTGAAGTCATAGGAATGCTTGATTGCATGGTCCGGTTCTACTAGGCTATAATCTGGTCGTTAAATTTACTTTGTAAGGAGACTTCGGTGCAAGAAATTGATTCGAGATAAGTAGAAGGGTTGACCGATGTTGGCGTGAACATGCAGAATGGCAGCTACGCCTCCTACCACTGCACTATTCCTCCCCTGAGACTTGAATTCGAGGACAAGAACACGAACATTTTTAAGTTGCAGTTTTAGACTTGATTTCAATGTTTTTAAGTCATTTCCGTTAAATAAGTCATCAAAAACTAGAAGGAATGTGTATCCGTGAAGGATCGTAGTTGACACCTACAAACCGATTCGATTAGCAATGATATGCAGGAAGTGACCTTCTTGCCTAATCAACTAAAACTTGTAGGCGAACGCCCATATTATCGTCGTTCATTGAGCAAACTATTCTGGTACCCTATTCCCGAATTTCAGCCCGAAAACAATATTTAGACGAGTTGTACTGGATTATGAGGTGTAGTTGTAGCGACCTGACCGATAATTTTTGTAAAATGGCTCAAATTGCTGGTGGAAGTCACGGCTTATACATGAGTGATTTCAAAAGGTGTGAGTGGGCTCATAATTTCTACCAATATGTGATTTTTAAATGATTTTCAAAAAAGATATATTGTGAGGTGCTGATTGTTTTTTTTTTACAAAAATCAACTCATCAATATTAGATGTATACTAGTGTACTTCGTCTTTCAATCCCTCTGGTGTGGTTGAGTGGTACTAGACTTGTTACGACGCTACGATTCTGAATGGAAGTCGAGTTCAGGGCGCATCCCTCGGGTAGGACTGATTGACGTAGAAAAATTATTTGGTATTTTTGCTTGACCCGTACGCGATTAGAAATGAAGCAAAGCAAATTATAAACCCTACAGATAAAACTAATGCAGATTAGCGGATAAACTCGTCCAAAGTATCTGAACTGATTGCGAACTGGTTCTAATACATTCTAACGGTCAAATAATCGTTCCAATTGCTCCAATACGCTGAAGTAGAGCGAGTTCTACGGAGTCCGCTCAGGAATGGCTTCGATGGTTTGCGGTTTGACACTAATTCCTTGATATGACCTTCTCACCTTCAAGTAGCATCGAGCTATTGTACGTATATCTTCGTCGGGTTGCACCCTATATACTACGGAGCGAAAGAGGACTGCAAACTTATATTCTCTTGACCTTTGGCCTAGTCCTGCTCAATTGAGAATTGCCTCAGCTTTGCCGTATACCGACTAGTTTAGCAGTCCAAATGAAATAGCATTCGATAGTCACGTTCCTAGCTTTCGTTTCAGGCCTTGCCCAGACTACCGGTTCCTGGGTGTTCCATTCAAAGAAAGTTCAATCACCAGAAAAGGCAAACTTGCGCTTCGCAGGAAATATAATTTACCAATCCAAAGAAGCGGTTACTAGTAAAAAGACAGCGAAAATTTCTCGAAAAACTCGTTTGGATTACGTTTCAATCACCAACATTGACATTAATTGACAAATGCATTTGTACGATTATAATCGCCGATACGCATGATCAGATCCTATCGGGTGGAATTAATTCTTCACCAGGCGACAATGTGGAAGGAAAGGGAGTGACCACCCTGGAAAGGTCACTTGTGCAAGGGACAAGTAATCATTTCATAAAGGGAACCAGAAGATTGGGCCTAACTGAAAGAG